CCGCTAACTTGGAGCATGTACATGTAAATTTTGGTGCAAATCCGTCAAAAATTGTGGCTGTGCATTCATTACACACACACACACCCCTGCCTTATATATATATATATATATATATATATATATATATATATATGTGCGTGGTTAGAACTTTCTGATTTGAATCTCACCATGGTCGATTTGTCAGGAAGGAGACTTCCTGACATTATTGGTCTGGAGGGGGACAATCCCAGCATGTGGCACCTTTGGAAATTGCCTGAAAACCATCCCATGAGTTGACCCAAACCTTGAGTGAAATTGGGTAGATGAAACACTTGGAGGACGTCAATAGTTGTGCTAGCACAAAGTTACAAGTCATCGTGACTGAATGTTTGAGTTTGCTGGTGTTGTTCAGATTGTTGATCATGCTAGATAATTGTAACTAAGGTCTTCTCAGCATAGTTGCAGTATAAAACACAGGCTGGCTCTGTGGATGTTGAACAAACACAAAAGTGCCTGAGCAAGAGTCTGTAATAGGGACTGGCTAGCCACCCTTGTAGATGGGTATCATTGAATACGAGTGGCCAGCTATTATTTTATATATTAGTATGCCTACCCATTCCTATCCATGTATGCTTGTCTTCTAGTGGGTCTAACAAATCCCTGTTGCAGACACCTGCATATTTGTTCAACACCTACAGAGCCAACCTGTGTTTTATACTGACTTTAGTTACAATTTCTGGAAGGAAGCACATAATATCTGGTGTGATCACCAGTGAACAAGGCCAGTATGCTCTAAGCCTCCATCACAATGACTCACTATTTTGTGCTAGTACAACCATTGATGACATTGGAACAGTTTTGTCTACTGAATTTCACTTTTTCGGGCACTTCCCAAAAGTACCGAATGTTGGGATCATCTTCTTAGGCTTATCTTATAAGAAAGTCACCTCCTTGACAATTGTAAGATTTGAAGTTGAGTCTCATAGTCATGTGTATGTTTCTATATACAAATGCAAGGTTTTATTTTTTTTCTGTTCAGTAATGTTCCTGCCAAAAGAAAAACAGCAGTTTTGTTTTTGACAAAAGCAAGAAGTTCCAAAGAGCCTTATCTGGACGGTTATGGTCAACATTTATCCAATGTTCTGCTTGGAGAAAACATTCAAGAACACTGATTACTTTCAATGGATTCTGAGCCAAGTTTGAAGCCTTAAGTCTAAAGTTTTATCCAGTCTTTACTCATAGAACCAATTCTATGAGTCTTTACTCATAGAACCAATTCCAAAAGCATTTGGATATTTTCTGCTGATGAATGTTTCCAGTTTCAATTAAAATTTCATGCATATTTTTTGTGGTTGCTATGGTCACACAAGCTCACTCAATGAGTCTCACAGCCAACTGAGCAACCCAATGGGAGTGTATCAGTTCGCATACGTACACTGAGCTCTCTTCTTCTCTAATTGGTTGTAAGGCTGCACAAATGGTTCTCAAGATATCCAAAATGGCAGGATACTTTCTGAATATAAAGCGGATACAGTTTCCCAGATTTCGATTTCTTTTTCCCATTTTCTTAAACAATTCTTAGATTCTGAAAAGCAAAATAACGCTTTTCTAAAGAAAATTGTATTTAACAAGAAAGAATTGAATTACTTAAAATTTTATTTTTGTTAAAATATTCCAAATCTGTTGATAGTCTATTAGTCCTGGAACATCAAAAGCAATAAAAGCTGCTTGCTATATTTATGTTCTTATCACACTGTTTCAACTTTCTCCAGGGATTTTAGAAATGAACCCTTTATTTGATCTATAAGTGAAGATTGTCCATGTTGAGGTATATCTCATCTGCTTCTCTTTTCTTATTGCTCAGGACTAAAATTCCATTAATATTATTCAGATTGACAGATACCTGAAGAATTCTGGAGAGTACAATGGAAAAAAAAAAGATGAGGATATTAGACTAGTCCGGCTGTAAACAATAACTACTCACCCTATAATTCCAGACATCTCACCTTCAGTCAGAAACAATACTCAAGTGTGTTCCTTCCCCCTTTCACCTTGGTGAATCATTTCTGTCTTGTAAAATCCAGTGGATTGTCAACCACAGATTCATGGATCATGATAAAGAGGGGGATGTATGTAAGAAAATCCAGAAGATCCAGAGCTTTGAGATGCTGCAGACGATCCTTCACTTCTTGTTCATGACTCAGGCTTACACCACCCACCCTCAGTTCAACACAAAGCTGCTCCAGAGAAATCTTGTTTGTTTCAGGATCAACATTGCATTCCCACAATGTCTGGTTAGAAAACAAAAACAAAAAAATCTCAATGTGAAGTAAAATTAACATCAATTTACTTTTTTTTAAAGCAAAACATTCATCTTTATTATAACATGAACAGGGAAATGATATATGTATCAAAACTTTGTAAAAAGTGTTAATTACTCATCAAAAAAAAAATTCACATTATATAATAATTCTATTCTTTATTTCTTATTCACAAAAGCTTAAAATGACCAGGTTAAAAGTTATGAAAAAAAACAACAAAAATAATATGAAAAATACAAGTGCAAAAAATTAATTGACAATGCTTCATCTAAGAAATTCATATCTTATTACATCTAATGTTAATGGTGTAACAAAAAGAAATAAGATCAACGGAATACTGGTCAAAAAGTAATAATTGATAAAGCTTCATGTAAAAACCATTCACTTATTATTGTATCTAATACTATGCATGCAAGAGAAATAAGGTAAAAGGAATATAAATCATCAATTATTAATAATTTCTGGTGTTTTAAGAATTTCAAACCTTATATCTCCAGCTACTAGTGTAAGAAAGAGAAATAAGATGAAAGAAATCCTAGTGAAAAATGAATATTAATTGACAAGGCTTGATGTAAGAAATTCAAATCTTATTCCATCTAATACTACTAGTGGAATAAAAAGCAAGAGAAATAAGATGAAAGAAATCCTTGTGAAAAATGAATATTAATTGACAAGGCTTCATGTAAGAAATTAATTTCCATTTGTCTTATTACCAAAAACAAGATGAAAGACATTCTACTAAAATTTCTATTTGATGCTACATTGCTACCAAGAACATTTTATTCATTTGTCATGATTTTGTAAACTGATTTTGAGGATTTCCAGTAATATCTCATAGATAGCAAACATTTTCAATGAAAAAAGTTATTTGGAGAAGTCTTGATTTTTCTTTTTACATTTCAAGATTTTTTCATACCTTGCACTTGAAGGTTTTCATGTCCAGTAGTCGGTAATCTATGTTGTCAAGCAAACTTTTCATCCAGTTGCTAAAAGTTAAAGCAAACAAAAATTGTTTTCAACAAACATCATTTTTTAATTTAATTCTTGTGCAAGAATTATTACTGAAGTTGCTTAAAGATTTTCTGCTTGAATCTAACAAATAGAAAATAGAGACATTTCATTGGAACTAGACGAGTAGAAGTCTTGAATGCAGTATAAAACATTTCATCTTTTAAGTAGTTATTTAGGAGTTGCTTAATTAAAATGAAATCGGGTTGATACTTTAGCCAATTTGGTGTTACTATTTTGTGGAAAAGTATATTTTTCACTCTCTCACACACTTTTTTTTCTCTTTCTAAATCATTTTTTTTCTTTCTGTTACTCTCACTTATTTTCTCAGAAAGAGTGATAGAGAGAGAAAGAGAATGCAAGAGTAAGAGCGAAAAAGTGGAAGAGAAAAAGAGCATGACAGAAAGACAATGAAAGATAAAAAAGAGCATGAGAGAGGAAGAGCCAGAGAGTAAAAGAGAAAAAGCCTGAAAGATCATGAAAGAAGAGAGAAAGAGAAAAAGGGTATGAGTGAGAAAGAGTGAACGAGGAAGTATCTGAAAGAGAAAAAGAGCAAGACAGTGGAAGTAAAAAAGGGTGAGTGCGTGAGAAAGATAAAGAAAAAAGGGCAACAGTGTGAAAGAGAAAAAGTGTGAGACAGTGTGAAAGAAAAGCAGCAAGTGTGAGAGAGTGTGAAAGAGAAGAGCATGAGAGAGTGAGAGGGAAAGTGAGTTTAAGTGAAAGTGAGCAAAATAGTGTGGGCGAGAAAGAGAGTGAAAAAAAAAAGAGGATGAAAAAGAAAAACAGCAAGAGAGAGAAATAAAGAAAGAGAAGGAAAACGAGAGAAAGTTTGAGCCAAGGGAAGCCATTCAGAAACGTGTTTTTTTTTTTTTTTTTTTTTTTTTTTTTTTTTGACTGAAATTGTCATTCATTTAATCACTTGTACACTTCTTCAAAGCATAAATTATTTATGAAAATATTTTTTCAGGAAAGTTTCAAAATTTAAAAAAAAAGTTTTTTTAATTCAAGGAGCAGATAGTTTCAGATGAGAATGAGTTTTGGTAATGTTTAACCCTTGTACCTGGGGGGAATAGTTATTCCTATAACCACATACACTTTTGACAATGTTTATTTAAAAAAAGTGATGTTTACTATTTTAATAATGTGTGAAAGTGGATTTATACATTTATTTTTTAGAATTGACAACAAATATATTAAACATGATTTATTTATTAGATTTGCTTATTTACATGATTATAAAACATGTGAACCAACTGTAATGAAATAATTATTATTTTCCCTTTATATAGAGAAATAAATATGAAAAATTTTTTTATTCATAAATTTATAAAAATGTCTGAAGAAGAAAATTTAAATAAACACACTGATGAGGAACTGTTACTTTTGAAAAAAATGTATTTTGTAGGCATTTCTTTTTCATTTGCTCTCACTACATAAATTCACTAAAATATGTTGAGAGCATTTCTTTTCAAATTTATTTCTTGATAAATATTAAATTATTATTGTATTGTACTTGGTTCACATTTTTATAATCTTGTAAATAAACATTGCTGTGGGAGTCAAAAGTCTATACAGTAATAGTGGTTCAAGGGAATAAAACTGTCCTTTCGACACACCATTTTTTAAAAATTTTTTTCAGGCACGAAGGCTAAACATTGCCAAGTTTTCTATTAAAGTGAAATTAATGAAGACTTACTCAAGGGAGGTAATACGATGAGAAAGTGCTGCCAAAATTGAAAACAATCTCAAGTCGGATCCATCATCAATACTGTAACCAGTCAATTCAATAATCTGCGAGAATTAAGAAAAAAAAAAGGGTTGTGGGGGTATAATAAGAATAAATTTGTAATAACTTTAAGGTTACAGCGCTAGAACAAAGTCATGGAATGAAGGTGCATGGGCTTCAGAAATTTCAGTTTTTTATGATACCATTCTCATTGTCCCTCTCAAGGAGAAGTGGAACAGCATACTTGCTGCCTGGAGATCAAATAAATCTACTTGAAATTAATCACAGATTAACAAATATGATAGACACCTGAAGAAGGTTGGAGGATACAATAAAAATTAAGAAAAATAAAGAATCAGCTTGTCTTATTAACAAAGTTAGAATGTTGACATTTCAACTGTTCAACCATCTTTCTAATCTTACAATACATAGATTATAAAAATAAAGCAATTTCTTATTAGCTCTGTCTGTATTAATGTAGTGTATAATTATTTTATTCCTCTATATGTATTATTATAATATATATTAATAGTAGTACCTACTAAAATTTCATGGTTTTTGCTATTTTATTTTCTGATTGCATATACTCCTTGCAAAGTTCTATGAGTATAAAAGACCCATGAAAATTTTCATATTGCATCTGAAATTATTTGATCTTAGGAGTCAACCATAGTCAGGATCATTGAGTCAATGTGAATGATCCTTTCCCTAGCTGCATAGTATATACTTCACCAGGGCTACATAAAGGTTTGAATTCAGCGTTTTCTATCGCCTTCTATAACCAAGGCTATAGAACCCAGTTTGTTCTACTATTTACCCATAGCTAGGGGAGAGTTGATTTCATACCTTTCCCAAGGGTATTAGCATGTAAGTGAATGTAATAAACTTGAGTCTCTGATTCCTTAATCTAAGCCACAATCTGTTACTATACTGTGCCTCTTTAGCAAAATATTGCAATAATAAGTATGAATGCAGGTCATTATTTAAAGAGGGTACAAATGAAAAAAAAATCAAAATTAACCAGTTTTTTAATTTCGCTGAAGAAGCTGTTAAACTCAAGAGCATTATGCCTTTTATTTTCTCACTGAAACCAAATAGCATCTCTAATATGTCTTTTTTTCATTTTTTCCTTGCAATCAAACCTTAGTCTATTATTTATGAGGCAGAGTACAGCATAAGTGTTAACTAAGCAACAAGCAGAATTATAATATGAAACTATTGCTGAATTTCTTGGTGGGGGAATTTTTTAAAGTATGATAATGAGACGATATTGTTACTCACCCGACACAAGTATTCCTCTTCAGATGGTGTCAATTGGCTGTTAGCTGTCCTTAAAGCCATCATTGTTTCTTTGGGAGTCAACCAACCTCTATTTTTTGTATCAGCCTGAGAATTAAGAATTTTATTATAAAAATAATTATTTTTAAATCATTTCATCCTAAGTAAAAATGCCACTAGGATGCACAGGGTTATTGGGAGTGGAAGAAAATGAGAAGACTTTAGTGAGGATAAAGGACAATAAAAGAACAGGTTTCAGGAAGACATATGGCGATTGGCATTCATTTAAATTTTTAAAGATTGTAGGTAGCAAGGAAGCAAGAAATCGGAAAGGTGATCAACATGTGAGAAATGTGTTACATTGAACTAGTTCAACAGTAAAACACGAAGACTTAGTTGCCAATCTAGTAGCAGTTGAGACCACAGAGAGGAAATTGCCATGAAAATATTTGTAGAAAAAGACAGAGGGAAGCCACATCAGATTGGTGAGAAAGTGACTGAAGTTGAGATGCCAGGTCAGGATCAATAACATTACAGACCCTCCTTTGAATTTTGTCAAGAATCTCTAGATATATAGTACAAGCACCCAATTGATTCAATATAATCACTCCACTTCATGTTAGTGGAAAAAATGAGCCTAAGAAGATGCAAAGAGTTACTCTCCTGGAGGTTAGCATCAGCCATGCTGACGGATTGCAGAAAAGATTCTCTATGGTGATTAGATAAAAGCCGTTTAAATGTTATCACAATTATGTTGAAAATTGGTATTTAAGACACTGGATTTTACCAAGATTTTAACCATTGAAGATTTAACAACTGGCACTAATAGTAAATTGACAATTATTTTAGTTACAAACAGGTGCAAATTGTTATTGTTTGACCAAGCTTACTCATCTAAGTTGGTTATTCAATTTTATCATAAAGATAATGATTTGTAATATTAATTATAAGTTAAATTTACTTACATATTTTTATCTATAATAGAGACCTGATATAAATACTTGCTGATGTCACAGGTAAATATTTTTTTTCTTTGTTTAATTAATGACGTTCTTTCAGGACACAGGTAATCCTGGCTCACCCCAGATTCCTTTTACTAGTTGTGAATTGTCATGACACCTTGGGAGAGATTGTAAAATGGTTTCCTATTGCCTCCCCACCCCAGTTTTTGAATTCTGTGTCTCCATTCTCTTAGATTAGCAGCTAACCAAAACTAGAATGCCAGTCTACCCTGCTATTTAACTGGCAGGGGTAAAAGTTATGAATTCATAAATTTCTTAATGGCAGTTGAGTGAAAGCGAACACAACTGCCTCGGCTGGAATTTGAACCTGGCTTATCAATTCCACAATGTGTACATTGCAGGATTTATTAAATTAATTACATCATGCTCAGCAAATTCTGAAAATGGGTGTGGAATAAATGTTGCACTTTCTCATGCCAAATAAGTTGATTGTTGGAGGTCTAATAACCAGAAAAGGTTGGAAATTTCTGGCAAATTCTGAGTTGTGGGTTGGTCAGAATAAGTTGGTTCTGCTTGAAGCTTCTGTTTTAACATTTATTGAAGAGGTCGACTTGAAGTATAAAAAACGTGCAAATGTTATAATAAGTGTATTAGTTGATAAAAAAAAAAGTAATATTAAAAAACAGAAGTCAAATTTACAGCTACTCTATCCCCTCTTACTTAGCATTCACCCCCTTTCTGTATAAACAAACTAAATATTTTTCATGATAAAAATATATTGAATAAATGCTAAAATGTTTTAGTAAATATTAATATTCAGTTTGTACATTATGCATTGACAATCAGGGCTAAAAGTATTGTCACGGGTCAGGAATTAATGCAAGTTTCACTCATAGAAATGGTCTATGATTATATTGAAAAACAAGTCCTGTGTTGTTTTTTCACAAAAAAAAAAATCAAACCAAAATGTTAAATAGTGGATAAAATAATACCATTTTTAATCTCTGATGTTTAAACAGGCTCCAAGTTTTTAAAAATGAAAAATTTAATTCCTAATTAAAACTTGCTTTTAACCTCCAAATATTTTGATTTGAAGAATATTAAAATAAAATCCATGTTTAAACTATGAAATCTGGAATGACATAAATGGATCCTATGTAAAAAATAAAATACTTCAGAATCTCTAAATAAGTGCCATTCAAGACTATTCTTAATTATTTTTTTGACTATTAATTGATTCAATGCCAAATAATTTTTTTTTTTTTTTTAGCCTAACTCCTGTGCTTTTTTTTTTTTTTTAGCTGATGGAGGGAGAAAGCTGTAGATTTGTCCTCTCCCCAGATTTATTCAACCCCTACAGCGACACTAGCCTTAGGGAACTGGAGACATGCAGATGACACTGTGTTGATGGCTGAAACGGAATGAAACTTACATGTCTTCCTAGACAGAGTAGAAGAAGAAATTGAGAGAAAAAAGGACGAACCATGAACTGCATGAAGACAGAAAGTATTCTCTTATATGGCAGTAAATACTGGACATTGTCCCTATAAGTGAGGAAAAACTGAAAGCAACAAAAATGTGGTTCTACAGAAGGATACTGAGAATTCGTAAGATGGAGCAAGTAAACAATCAGGAATTTTTAAAGAAAGCTAAAATTCCTTGGACACATAATGAGGAGGGAGGGATTGGAAAACTTAACACTCACAAGGCATACAAATAAATTTAAATCACTGGGTCCAACCAACACTTTTATCCACTGAACACATGGCCCAGTGGATAAAAGCGTTGGTTGGATCCAGTGTTGTGACTGGGGCAGGAATTGGCTGGTTAACTTTAATGCCTCAAAAACAAAACTGCTCTCTATTACTCACCACAGAGAACCATCCCTGCCTCCCATTAGAATGTTGAGAGCACCTCTTTGCGACTGCTTGGTCTCACATTGTCTGCTGACCTGAGATGGAACAAATTGAGTCAATAGCTTCATCCACCACAAGGAAAATTGGCTCCCTCTGCCACGCCAGGAAATTTTTCTTGCCGGAGTCAATCCTTCAAATCCTTCAAATCTACAAATCAACCATTCACTCTTGCATGGAGTATTGCTGCCATATATGGTCTGGAGCCCCTTCTGTTTGTCTCAAGGTCCTTGATAAAATCCAGAGATGGATATGCAATGTAATTGGCCTTGATCTAGCATCTCATCTGCAGTCACTCTCTCACAGATGTGCCGTTGCCTCTCTCTGTCTTTTTTACAAATACTTTCACGGTAACTGCTCCAATGAGCTGCTTTCGCTGGTTCCCAGACTTAATGAATTTAAGCGCTCAACTAGGCTGGCATCTCACCCTTTCACTGTCGAAACTGTTAAAAATGTAGATGTCTCTTCTACTCCAATGACTTCATGTCTCGTACTTCTCGCCTGTGTAACTCCCTCCCCTTTTCTTGTTTCCCTGATAGCTATAATCTCCAACTATTTAAATGTAATGTCAATCGATGTCTCCAGATGCCTTGATCTATCCCCTATCTTTCAATTCATCCTTTCCTCTATCACTCCTATTTGCTCTAGTGCCAGCTTTCTGTAACCTCTTGCATGCTAGTGGCTTCCCACCTTGCTTGGGGTGAATCGCTTAAAAAAAAAAAAAAAAATGCAAATGTAGACTTTTTTCAAAAAGGTTTTCTTGTTATATTATTGGTATTTGTTGAATTTTGACAACAGTCAACATTTCTCTACTCTTCAGCAAGAATAATTAGTAAGATCAGTACAGTAACCAATGTGCTGCTGAATGTCCTCTTCAATGTCACTTTAAAACAAGATGTTTGGAAGGAAAATCTCATTAGTGCTAGAAAGATTGGTAATATTTCATGAACTTGAAGAGTTTAATTTTCTGGAAAAATTTCAACTGACAGTAACACTGTTTGGTAAATAAATGCAAAAGGTTTCCTGCTTGGAAATGGCTAATCTTACTGTTACAATTATAAAAAAAAACAAAAAAAAAAAAACATGTTTACAAACACTAGATAAAAAAAACTGAAAACAAATCAACCAATATAGAACTATTTGACAGATTGGTCGAGAATAATATCAACTACTTGTATGAGACTATAATTAGAACACCCATATAGAAGGAGATGGTGTGTGATTTTATCTCAATCTTAAGTGTTTTGTGTTTTATGACTAGCAATAAAATCTGTGAAGTGGGGTCTTCAAAAGCAGTCATCTCACTTGACCCAAAGAAAATAACAAATAAATGAAAACTTTTAGGGTCAAGTAACAATAAACTTGGCATTGATGGGTCTGTCTTAAGAGTCCCTGTTGGGATTGAGCAGAGTTCTGAATTGTTCTTGGTGCAAGAGAGACCATCCCTCAAAATAGTGCCAGGCTGCCTATTAGAAATGCCAGCTGATAAGAGATGAACAGAGAAATGGTCAGATTTCTTGCTAGGTGGGAGAGAAAAACTGATCTGTTAGCCAGAGATGTCAAATGTGACAGACATTGTTTTCATGTGTCCCCTACCTAACCAAAAACTGTACAAATGAAACCCTGAATAAACAAAATATACTGGAGACAGGGTTTGAGTTTACATTTCTCACTGTGGCAGTTATTTTCACCTTTTATTTCCTTGTGAATGTGCAATGGGACTTTCCCAGTTTTTTTTTTTTTTTGTGCACACTGATGTGAAACAAAGAATAGAGATACAATGTAGGGTAATTGATGAAAAGTTGAGACAGGCCCTCACTGTATGTTTACTGTAGGACAATGAGCAACTATATTGAGTTAGTATCACATTCAAAATTAATTTAGAGGGAGTACCCCTGCATATATTATGGCTCAGGTGGATGCCTTGCCACAGTTAATCATTAACAAATTAGTCTAGTGGACCATAACTATTGCCAGACATAGGGTCTTCCAGCAGCCATCCTCTTGACTAGCTCCCCAACGCACTTAATGTAGGTCTGTGTGTTGAGTCTAAGGCCCTGTGGGAAGCTGAATGTAGGCATAATGTTGTCATCACTAGTGATCACTCCAAACACCATGATGTTGACTGGATATATTGTTCAACTCTTTCCAAATCCTCTGCACTGTCCTTAGATTGACACCCAAACACTCTGAAATATTTGTATTGGAGATTTTGGTGCAAATGCCAAGCAGTACTGAGCCAACTATACTGTGTAGTCAACAAAACAAAAAACACATATGTATAAACAACACATATGTATAAACAACACATATGTATAAACAACACATATGTATAAACAACACATATGTATAAACAACACATATGTATAAACAACACATATGTATAAACAACACATATGTATAAACAACACATATGTATAAACAACACATATGTATAAACAGCATGTATAAACATATGTATAAACAACATGTATAAACAACATAAATAAACAACACATATGTATAAACAACACATATGTATAAACAAACAATGTATAAACAACATGTATAAACAACACATATGTATAAAATTAAAAAACATAAATGTATAAACAATTTATAAAATTAAAAATATCGCACATCATCGGTGTGTATGTGTGTATAGGGTGTTATATCAAAAAGTAATGAATGAGAACAATAGAAGAACAAGTAATACTGTAATACAAAGCACACGTACTGGATTCAGTTTATTCACTTTCATTGACACTGCCACATATCGGGAAAGACTATATGAACACCATCATTTTCATGGCACAAAATGATGTGGTGCCATCTCCTGTGTGATATTTTATGAAGCTGTGCTTTGTTGATTGTTGCATCCTTCAACTGATGGGTTTTCTTGTATCATTCGTGTGAAACTCTCTCCTTGATAATACCCCACAGAATGTTGAAATAGAAAATTATAGTATGTAGAGGTGACAAAACTTTCGGACCACCTTGTATATGCATGTTCAAAAGTGAGTGTATTGATCCTGACCAGAATTTGAACTCAGCCCACCAATTTCTCATTCTGACTCTTTAACCATTACAATACCCTGTACATAAAAAAGTGAGTATTTTTTTTATATGTCCCACACAGATAAAAATATCAGAAAAAGAAGTTGAAAATGCAACTGGAGTCTTTGAGAATATTTACATGTTTCACAATTCTATGATTTTCAATGTGAGGAGATGCAAGACATAACATAGAATATCCACATGCGTCTTTATTTCAGTTTATCTTTTGAAAATCATAGAACTGTGAAATCGTAAAATTACTCTAAATAAATATTCTTAAAGCCTCTAGTTGCATTTTCAACTTGTTTTTCCTATATAATGGTTAAAAATGTCAACAAATATTCATCTGGCTCTGTCCTGAGATTCTTGCTGTTGCAAAATGTATGCAGGTCACTAGTGGGACTGAAGTGTCACATATGACACAAACATAAAATCTGGATGAAGTTATCAGATCCTCATAAGTCAAAATTGACAGTTGAGTCCGTCATCATTGTGTGTTATCCATTGGCTCCTATAAGAAGTTTATCCACCCCGTACATAATACGTTATGAAATATTAAAAGAAATACTTACAGACTCAAATGTACGTCCATAGATTGTCCAGTTATCATTATTGAATATACAATATTTTGCCAACCAACCATCTGAAATCAGATCAAGAATTGAAATGATCAAGAGCAATGATGCCTCTTCCTCGTTTCTTAGTATAACATCTACCCTCTTTGGCGATTTGTTCATGAAATTTTGAAAAAGCAGATTTTTGTTAGATGGCCTTCAATTTCTGGTTTTTATTGTAGTATGTCAACTGAGAGACGCGTCATTTTCATTATTCCAGAAATAAGTTATTAAATTCAAAATATGATAACTGTGATATTATAATTAATAAATTTACTATATTATCTCAATAATATTATCTCTATCTATAAAAACAGGATGTGTGTGTGTGTGTGTGTGTAACGAATGCACGGCCACAATTTTTGACAGATTTGCACCAAAATTTACATGCACATGCTCCGAGTTAGCAAGAAGGCCAAGACTGACTTTGCATTTCCCAAGTCCCATCGATAGTGGAAATAATCAATATTTTCATGCTTCTACAGCAGTTTTCATGTAGTTTGCAGCCATTTTCTACTGGCCAGAGTGAGAGCCTATAGCTGGCTGCCATGAATAGGCAGGAAGATTCTACTGGCCAGCGTGAGAGCCAACAGCTGACTGACACAAATGTTAACTAGCATGCTAGCATGCAAAAAAATCGATAGCTGCATTCGTCACAAGTGGAAAAAATTCAAATCTGCATGGCACTTTACTCCAATTGGCTCATTTGCTTGCTTAAACTCAACGTTGATTCTGATTCCACAGAACTTGGTTGGATGTGAAAAAGTATTTGTTGTTAACATTCTTTTTTCCTTCGTTTTTCTAGTTATGAGTCCTTTTTTAAAGCTGACTGTTTTGTGTTCATTTTGTTTAGTTTTTTTTTCGTAACAGATTTAATGTTTAGTATAGAGCTTAGAAAAATTTGCAGTGTGAGATAGGCAAGAAGTAAGGCATGTAGCAACATCAGCACAGCAAAGGGCACTCCTTTAAAGGCAAGGAAGGGCAAAAATATAAAATTTTAAGTCAAGTGATAGCGATTGCTGTATGAGTCGTACGATTTTTGAATCAAGCACGGGCAACACCGGGCCATGATGCTAGTAATTAATAAATTTACTATATTATCTCAATAATATTATAATTAATAAATTTATTATATTATCTCAATAAAGGCCGGAGTGCACAATGGCCATAAGGTAAATAATGATAACTCTTCATCCAAGAATTTAAAGAAAGTAACTTTGTTTCTAAATTTTATTGTTTTTTTTTAACTGCTTCAAATATAAAAGACTGATCAATAAAAACTTACAATCTTGAAAAAGCGGCTGCTGTGTTGGCGAGGCTTCATCAAAGAGAATTTTTTTCTGGTTCATTTTTTCCAAAAGTTTCTGCCGTCTTCTCTCAGCTATTTCCTGTGGATCAAAATATTGCTTATGTCTTTGACTGGGAAGCGGTTTCAGAAGGTCTTGGACATCTGGAGGATTTAATCCTACTAGTTTCTTCTTTAAAGCTTTCTTTTTCAAATTCACCGATTTTCCTTGGTAGGAAGACAACTTTGCTTTCTCTAACTTTACCTGACTTCCTTCATCTAAATAACAAAATCAATCAATAATAAAAAATATCAAGAAAAAATCTATCAATCACTCGATCAATAAATAATAAAAAATCAATCGGTCATAAAATCAATCAATAATGAAAATCAAGAGATAAAATAAATCAATCATAAAATCAATCAATAAATAATAAAAATCAATAAATATATAATAATAAATCAATAAATAATAAAAATTAAAGATATATAATAGTAGTAGTATAGTTGGCCACTCGTATTTGAGGATACCTGCCTACTACAGCATCTAGCCAATCCCTATTGCAGACACTTGCTCAGGCGCATTTGTGTTTATTCAACACCAACAGAGTTCACCTGTTGTATATATTGTAATTGTGCTGAGCAGACCTTAGTTTCGGTTTCTGGGAAAGCGTGTTATCTAGCATGATCAACAATTTATTCCGAGGGTTCTGTCTACCCAATTTCATTCACAAGGCTTGGGTCAACCCGTGGCATGGTTTTCAGGCACTTTTCAAAGATGCTGCATGCCGGGATCAACCCCTCCAGTCAGATAACATCAGGAAGTCTCCTTCCTGATAAATCTACCATGGTGAGATTGGAACTCGGGTCTCATTGTCAGAATGCAAATGTTGTAACCACTTGACCACATACCATTAAATATATAATAATAAATCAATAAACAAATCAACCAACCAATCAATCAATCAATAACAATAAAATAAATAGTATTAGTTATTGTAGTAACATTAAGAATAATAATTGTTTGTATCTTAAAATCAATAAGAGGAGTAATAGCATAATTTTCTTACTATTCCCTGACATGATAATCACTGGAAAGTGATTTGCCCAATTCACTTACTCTCTTCTGTTTCAATCCTGAAGTTAAGCAACATCGAGTGTGATCAATATTTAGATAGGGAACTGATTGGGAACACCGAATACTATAAGCAATCTCTTACAATCCAAAACATGTTGCAGCTTTAAATAACCCAGGGAAGGTCGATAAGCCATAAAAATTAATCAATCTGTCTCGATCATTGTGATATGCCAGTGATGAGTTATTTTGTAGGTGGGTATAAACTACAACCATGATTTGTGATTTATTTTCGTTTCTCTTTCATCAGAATTTAATGTCATAATAGAATTAACAGAGTGAAGGTTTTGTCATATACATTTTATAAATCCTACTCATGATATCATAGTTTACATAAAGAAATATACAACTGACCATGTGAAAAATAATCTGATCATGAATTAATTCTAGTGATGGTGAGACGAGGTACAAGGATAACATTTCATGTCATTGGAATTAAATTGAAATCATATTGATTTTCTCATGGCCAATTGTACATATCTTTTTCCAGAGTTGTAAACACTAGATTTGTTTATTTTAGCCACTAATAATGGATAGCAGTTTGAATTGAGGAATCGGAGAGCCGAGTTCGAATTTCAGTTGAATCCATTACATTCACTTACGTGCTAATACCCTTGGGAAAGGTGTGAATCTTCTTCTTCTCCCTCCAGCTATGGGTAAATAGCAGGATAGACTGGGTTCTATAGCCTTGGATGGCAACTGGTCTAGGAGAAGGACAACTCTGAATTCAAAACCTGCAGAGGGTCGTTTGGGGGCCTTGTGGCACTTAGAGCACCAGGTCTCTGTATTCGACTCTTCAAAAAAGTGTGGATGGTCCTACATGAAACCTTCACCACTATAATCTAATCTGATGTGCTGGTGTCAGGCTATCGGTTTCCTAGGAACTGATCTGCTTGACACTCATACGTCGAATTCGACGAGAGAGTCGAGTATATATATAAATAAAACATAAGGAGGCATGGTGGAGTAATGGATAGCAGCTTGGATTGACGAATCGGAGAGCCAAGTTCGAATTCCAGTCGATTCCATTACATTCACTTACTTGCTAACACCCTTGGGAAAGGTGTGACTCTTCTTCTTCTCCCTCCTGCTAAATAGCAGGACAGACTGGGTTCTATAGCCTTGGATGGCAACTGGTCTAGGAGAAGGATAACTCTGAATTCAAACCTGCAGAGGGTCGTTTGGTGATCAGGCCTCTGTATTTGACTCTTTAAAAAGTGTGGTTGGTTCAGCACAAAGCTTTCACCACTGTAATCAAATCATGTGGGCGTGTCTGGTTGTCGGTTCTTAGGAGCTGAGTTGCTTGACTCTCATATGTGGACAATCGACACACAGTGATTGTTGGAAGGTCTGTCTACAAAACTCTGGAGACTGGATGCTGAAAGTAACACCAATTAGCTAAGTGACAACTTTATATTTGTATTAATTGGTAATTGGTAGGGTTAATTCCAAGGAGGACATTAATCCAAAAACAACTCAGTGTAAGTAACAGAGCAATATAATAAGAATAAGTAAAGAAAATCCTTAAAAATCCTTCTCTGAATATATTTAAATATTCATCTCTTCAGACCGAAGGTTTTTTAGAAATGAAATACATTATTCATTTCTAACAAAAACCTTCGGTATCAAGAGATGAATATTTAAATATATTCATGAAATAAATTATAACCGAAATGGATTTTTAAAGATTTTCTTTAATTATTATTATGTGCTAATACCCTTGGTAAAGGTATGAATCCTCTTCTTCTCCCTCCAGCTATGGGTAATGAGCAGGACAGACTGGGTTCTATAGCCCTGGCTGGCAACTGGTCTAGGAGAAGGATAACTCTGAATTCAAAACCTGTGGAAGGTTGTTTGGGGACCTTGTAGCACTTAGTGCACCAGGTCTCTGTATTCAACCCTTCAAAAAGTGTGGATGGTTCTGCACAAAGTGCAATGGAATCACATGCAGCAGTCAATATTTCAATAGGATTTTTAGACTTCTATGAAAACTTTCCATTACCCTTTCTTGCTTTACAGAGTGTGGTTGATTTTTCTTTCTTGCTTTACAGGGCGTGGTCTTTGGGAACAGTTCTTGTGTTCATTGTGTACAGTACCATTGGCTTCAGACATATCTCTGAATTCGTGAGATTGTAAGCTGCAGTGGTGGATCTGAATGGCTCTTCAGTATGACCTTTGAACTTCAACTGCATTTTCAAACTTCCAGTAGCATTTTAGGACGAACTTTCTTTGTTCAAAGCTAAGCCTGGCTGACATTAGTAATACTAATGTGTAAATCTGAAAAGAAATCATGTTAAATGTAAAAGTATGTATATATTGTTTGGAAACACCCGGGATAGAACTTGAACTCTGCTCTCCAATTCCATGACAACCATTACATGACCCACACATCCAGCATCTTATCATCATTTTTATCATCACACACCTAAAGGTTTTCATGCGACCAATAAGTTTTATTTAAATTTTGCTATATTTTTGCAATATTAGAAGCATACTCATGTACATAAATGAAAAATACATACTTTTGGGGGGAAAAAAATATATATATATTTAAAATCAATATTAATTTTACCTTTGTCAACAAAAGAATTATCGATTGTCTCGCCATTGGCCTTTTTGAAGTCAGAATCTGTTCCAAGATTGTCTTCAGATTTGACTTCATTCAAAACTGGTGATGGAATATGTTTGGTTTTCTTATTTTTCTTGGAAACTTGACTTGATTCATATGAAGATTCATCATGAGATATCTAGGAATAAATAAAGTTAGCAATTGAATTAATGGCTTCAAACAACCCTATCAAATCTAAACCAACAATATATATATGTCTGAAGATTTTAATTTTTTAATAATTTTTTATTGTTCAAAAAAAAAAAAAAATATATATATATATATATTTTTTAGTATTAGTTTAGATTTGATGGGGTTGTTATTATATGGACAGTTTTTATATTTCCTCACTCACACCAAATGGAAAAATGTAAGAACACTGGAAAAACTAAATAAAAAAAAAATTAATAATATATATATATATATATATATATATATATATATATATATATATATATATATATATATATATATATTATTAGTAGTAATAATCTTATAAGTATAAGAAATTATACTTATCAGGAAAACAACGGTGTCTTGATTTGCAAATAATCAAACCAATACCAAAGGGAAAAAATAGGTATAAAAAAAGGAAGATTCAAAAAGATGTACATTAGCCAAAAATAATCCCAAAGAAGAATCCCCAATATGAGTAAGCAAAATAACTAAATAAAGTGCTCAATACAGTAAGTAGAGCAGACGTAGTTAAACCTAGAGAGCCAGACAAACCTACCAAGGTTTCACCTAAGCGGATCATCAGGGAAGCCAGCCCTCCTTGACAATCCGCTTAGGGGAAACCTTGGTAGGTTTGTCTGGCTCTAGGTTTAACTATATATATATATATATATATATATATATATATATATATATATATATATATAGTGGGGGGAAATAAATATTCATACACTTGAAAAATTGTATTTTTATAAGTGTAAAAGCCTTCAATAGAACAAATCTCAGCACATTTTATGTATAAAGACACATACTATTAAAAAATAATAATAAACTTAATTAATTCTTATTCTAACAGAAATTAATGCATCTAACTTGTGAAAAAAGTATTCGTACAAATCAATTATTAGAATAAAATAATCAATTAATTGTGAAAAAAATATTCGTACAAATCAATTATTAGAATAAAATGATCAATTATGAAAAAAGTATATTCTAGAATGTTCCAGTAATGTTATCAGTAATTATAGTTAACGCTATTAGCCATTATCAGAGCATTCTGCAATTTCTAGTATTACGAGAAGGTTTTAATAATGCCTAAAGTTAAAGAATTGACTATTTCACAAAAACAACACATTTTGTCTCTTTGGAAAGATGGGAACAGTTACAGAATGATTTCTAACAACCTGAATATTCCTTTTACTACAACTGCTTCGTTCATTGCAAGGTTTAAAACTTGTAACAGTGTCGAAAACTAAAGACGAACAGTTGCTCCGAGGAAGATTTCTGTAAGATCAGCAAGGATATTAGGACGCCATATCCAACAAAATCCACAGGTTACCCAAGAAGAGCTGCAGGAACATCTGCGTGCATTAGGGATTAAAGTAACCAAGCGTACAATAAGTAATGAACTACACAAAAACAGTCTGAAATCACGCATCCCAAGGAAGACTCCACTCCTCTTGAAACGACACAGAGATGCTAGGCTAAAATTCATTAGTGAGCATAAAGATAAAGAATATCTGTTTTGGGAAAAAGTACTATGGACAGATGAAACTAAAATAGAGTTGTTTGGTCATAATTATTGAAATCATGTGTGGAGGAAGGACGGTGATGCCTACTTACCAAAGAACACGTTGCCAACTGTAAAGTTTGGTGGTGGCAGTATCATGATGTGGGGCTGTTTTTCTGCAAAAGGTGTTGGCAGAATATCAATAATAGATGGCAAGATGAATGCCGAAAGCTACCAGAAAATCCTGCAAGACAATTTAATGCGTTCTGTTGAGAGACTTTGGCTACCTCCTGATTGGTTTTTTCTGGATAATGATCCTAAGCATACTGCTAGATCTACAAGGAAATGGTTAGCTGAAAGTAACTTTGATGTCTTGCAATAGCTAAGTCAGTCCCCAGACTTGAACCCAATCGAGAATTTATGGCAATATTTCAAAATTCAAATTGGGAAAAGAGCACCAACAAATATCAAAGAATTTGAAGACAATATACCAAGAAGAATGGGACAAAATACAACTCAATGTGTGCAAATCATTAGTTGAGATGTACAGGAATAGACTGGTAGCTGTTGAACTCAATAAAGGATATTCCACAAAGTATTAAATTAAGTTATTATGCTTTTTTTTTGTTTTGTATGAATACTTTTTTCATCGGTTAAAATGAAAAAATGCATTAATTTCTGTTAGAATAAGAATTAATTAAGTTTATTACTATTTTTTAATAAATTGTATCTTTACACATAAAATGTATCAAAATTTGTTTCAGTTAAGGATTTTACATTTATAAAAATACAATTTTTCATGTGTACGAATATTTATTTCCCCCCACTGTATATGAGCATATGGTTAGAATATTTTTGTTCTGCTGACCATGAGACATAGGTTCAGACATGGACTATTGCAGACATCCACTCACTCATTTTAGCCACTCTAACAGTTGAATATACTTTCAGTTTGTCTATTGTTTTAAGGACTACACAGGCATAGTTAGACTAAAATGGATAGCAGATTTAACTGGAAGAGAAAATAATTACATAATCAAGATGTTGACGTTCCACACAACTTCAAATAAAAGGTTAGAAAAGAAACCCCCATCAATACTGGGAAAAATGATAACATCTACTGGACTTAAGAAACCTTGTAAAATCATTTTTAGAGAAAGATTTCATAAATTTCAACTGACAGTAGTACAAGCTGTTCAGTCAATGAATGCCTAATGTTTTCTTATATAAGAAAACAACTAATGTTACCATTACCATAAGGATTAAAAAGCTGTTGTTTCCATGGTACCTGAAGATAGTTGATAAATAATTCAAAATATAGATGAAACTGTAATAAATTGCTACACTTCTGCGTGAGAATCTTGGAACAGTCATTCTAATGAAATAAAAGAATAACATTAAAAAAAAGAAAAAATAATATTTTGCTTTTTCTGTATTTTTGATTGAATAAAAACTTCTGAGGCAATGAAATAAATTATTAGATTCACTTATAAACAAACACTTGTGTTTGATAAGACTCTCTAAAAAAAACGTCAATGTAGAAATTTTGCTTACCTTGAAATGATTATCCTGTGAAGTTTCTTTTTCAGTTTGAGTTGCATCCAGAGTTTGTTCCAAAGATTTCTTGGCTATGAAAGTCGAAATTCCATCATGGTTTGAAATGGTTTCTGAAAAATATTGGAATTTGACTGCAAATTATTCCATAATGATCAAAATAACAGCAAGTCTCTGTTCCAAAGATAAATGATTGGTTCCTATCTGAAAATAATGGTACAAGATTTACTTAGAAAAATACAACTGATTTGGACAATCTTAGATCATCAGTGTCAATCAACAAGCTGAACAAACAAGGTTAAAGGTAATTTCTGTCTGAATTTTAGGGATGTGGAATTATTATTTACATTATTTATATGTGGACTATTGACTATTTCTTTCATTTCTTAGTCACATCCACCATATTTTTGTTCTTTCTTGTCTTGAAGTCAAAAATCTATAATCACTTGACTGTATCCCTTTTGCGTGTGAACACCATTCTTTGTTTGTGGACTTTTTATCTTATTACATTTGCTTTGCCTAGTTTTGTCTTGCACATATATTGTTTGTTTAGTTTAATTTTGCCCTGTTCTTTTTCTTCCTTTTCTTATTGTTTATTGAGAACTTTCTTGATTCCATTTGTCGGACATTTTTGCCAATTACATTTAACTATGGCAAATTATGCTACAGAAATAACAATGATTTTTTTCCAGATACAAGTTCAACTATTTAACCCATAGCTGGAGGAAGGGGATAGATTCATACCTTTCGCAAGGATATTTGTGCTTAAGTGAATATAACAAACCCAACTAGAATTTGAACTCGGCACTCTGACTCATTCCAAGCCACTAGCCATTAAACCACTCATACTGAGCAAGCAATAACTAAGCATTACTAAGTAATTACTAAACAATAAGTAGTTACTAAGCAGTACTAAATAAGAACATGTCCTTGGTAAGACAATAAACTACATCCAACAGCAAGGCCTCTGATCAGGAGGTTTTGAGAAGAATGGAACCCCCTCTTAATTGCTGATGTTCCCAGGTCCACTGTGACCCAGGGTGGTAGCATCTGTTAGGGTCCCAGCTATGGGCAAATAGTTAACTTCCAAACTTGGGTCAAAGCACTATGAAAATGTAAAAATAGGTTTTAATACCATCTCTACATTTTTGTAAATAATTATTACCAGCAATGAATTTTTGAAGAAAATAATTATTACCAGCAATTAATTTTTGGGAAAAAATATTATCAGTAATAAAAATCTTGTCGGCATTAAATAACCCATTGAGGTTGATATGCTGTAGAACAAATCAAACCAAACTAAGAACTAGACAAGACATCTCTAGATATGATCAGCTTGGATGAGTATAATCTTCCCCTGTAGATTAAACAAAGGGCTGAGTTTGAAATCCTCTTGTAGGTTACTCAGATTGATAAACACCTGATGAAGGGCAGCTGGTACAAAGGTTGAAATGTTGTGATAATAACAAAGATGGAGATAATAGTTTGCATCTGAATAATGAGATTATTATTGATATTTACTAAGCTTACTTATAGCTTAGGATGGCCCAACGCTAAATATGAGGAACTGATGTTAGGAGGATTATGTTTTACAAAAGTGTTGTGGCTCAAACTGCTTGCCTTGAAAATCAGCATCCAAAATCTTGGTCCTGTGTAAGAAGCAATGGCACTGACAGAGTTCTAATAATGCTTGAAATGTTATTTAGTGACTCAAGTTATTGAGAGGGTTAAGAATTATAAATGATGGAATAAAAATACTAAGTGGGGAAAATCACTTTAGTTTAAAAAAATTTACCAGAGCCTATAAAATGCATTAGTAGGAACTGAGCCCAAATGGAGGATAAGTTGTGACTTACTGTGATAATGGCATTGGCAAGCTGGTCAAGTCTGATGACTCTGAAGATGGGAGGTCGCTTTCCAATGAAGTCTGTGAACCTGGGCCAAGATGCCGTCCAACTACCAAAAATGTCCCTTTTATAGGTTTTTATGCCATTTCTTGGGTTCAAATCAGCTCCAGTTTTTACTTTGTTTCTTTAGGCGGGAGTGGGTGGTATGGAGTGGAAATTCTTCATTGTATTACTTATTTATTTCTTTGAGTGTGTTAGTAAACGGAAGATATATGCAGAGCCTTGCACAACTGATAGATTTTTAATTGAGTTTTGGGCATTCGGAGTGTTCACATCCAACTAGTGGTGAAAATTAGTGTTGCATAAATCCATGATGTAAATAAATATTTAAATATTAAGAAAATCATTCACACTTGATGCTTCTTAAGGAAATATGACTAGATTACCTTTTGGTCACAAATTTTGAGAGACCCTTTTATCATTTCTGATTTAAAACTGACTGATAAATAATATAAATGAATTATTTTTACATAGAAAATAAAAAAAATGAAATTGTAATCATTATTTTAACAATGTGTGAACATCTGCTGAAATAATACTTATAAATTCTTTTGTTCTTAGTCTTCTCACTATGACATCATGACTGGTAATCTAATTTTTATTTCTAAAAAAAGAAAAATATTTTTCATGTTAAAATAATACGGTACATTAATCTTCTGGTTTGTGTCAGTTATGGAGTATAGTGTGATGTCATTCGGTGGTGGTAAAAGTGCGATTTCCAATTGTTTTCCATAGTGTTCATCTTTATAGACTAATGATTTGGACATACATTTACCGTTTAATGGGCAGTGTTTGCTATTTCTTCAGTTGCAGTTATTAGTGGTGGGTATGGTGTTGCTTTGAAGGTTGTTGAAGTGCTTCTTTAGAATGGAATTGTTGTGCTGAGCTATATACTGGCCAATGTTTTAAGCATAACTGGAGCTAACTTTGATATTATTTCTGTTGAAGATCTTATTAAGTGTTGGGAATGACAAAAGTGCTTGTGGATTAAATGAAAAAAAATTTCCGATATCAGTTTTGGCGTTTTTGTTGAAGGGTGGGTTAATTTTCTGGTTTGTGTCATTTATGGAGTATTATGTGAGAGGAGAAATTGTAAGCTTGGGTGGGATTAGTCATTAGGTACAGTTTTAGTAATGTTGTACTTGAGTGTTGTTTTCATTTGATGAAGGAATTATCCATTGAAATGAATGACATAAAGTAAATCTTTACAGGTCAGGATTGTTTTAATCAGAAATAGGACAGTCAGATAGAGGTGACGATGACACCTGTGATAATCAGGACAAATGTGAGTGAGATTCCAGAATATGGAAAATTGTTTCATGGAAGGTGGATATGAGTGACACAAGGCCACAATTTTGATTGGCCCGCCAATGAGAGAGAGGCTGGGATGGATCTTCTTGTGTCCCCCTTCAATACTTATGACACAGGGCCATTATTTTTTATTGGACTAACAAACATATTGGGTTCTTCCTCCCCTTCAAAGCATATGACACAAGACTATTGGTCAAGCATTATTACTAGCTAGCCAATCAGAGCAGTGCAATGGGGTTTGCACTACCATAAAAGTTGCTAAAAGTGCAGAAATAATATCAAGCTGCTTTTGACAAAGTTACCTCATGAAAAATATCTTTTACTTGTGTCTTCTTACTCTGGCAGTGAATCTGATAGTAATTCAAGAGAATTGCTATGTAATAGTGAAGACTAAGTTTGTCCTTGAGTAGTTGACAAGTTACCTCATGAAAAATATCTTTCTCTTGGGTCTTCTTACTCTGGCAGTGAATCTGATAGCAATTCAAGAGAATTGCTATATAATGTTGAAGACTGAAAACAATAGTTGTCCTTGCGTGATTGACAAGTTACCATGTGAAAAATATATCTTTCATTTGGGTCTTCTTTGGCACTGAGTGTGATAATGATCATAAATAATTGATTGATTTTGAAATGACAAACCTGAAATGAAGCCATTGCTAACAATTGATAGCAAAACATTAGTGAGTTACTTCACTGATAGTTTTGAAAAATTCAAAACATATTAAATAATCAACTTACTGTAGTAAAAAAGAATTGTGCCTAATGATATCTTTGGAATTGTCAGAAAATAGTTCTTTATGGACATTTACTCAGTTCCATTGGCTTCGTAAGTTTAAAAGAATGGATTCTGTAACACTTGTCATTGAGGATGATTTACAAATAATAGTCCGAGTTAAATTGTAGATTTTATTTATTCATTTCTTTTTTGTTTTTTTTTCCTTGAGTTAATGTAGAAAAAACAATGGTGATAAAGGGAGTGGTTAAAAAGTGAAGTACTCGCCGACAGGCCAGCTGTTTTTTTTTTCTTCTTCGATCGCCTCAAGGAAATGGATTGCGTGACTCTCTTTCTCAGCTGTTACCCTGGGCAGCTGTGAAACAGACACCAAACTCAGCCGCACCAACTTCAACTTCCTCTTTGTTTGTCTGTCAATTCATATGTCCAGCTCTATTGCGTGCAGTCCACCGAATGACTCCCGACCCACTCATGCTTCTGGTACCCAGCTTTTTATACTGTTCTAATACGGCCGAAATTTGCATGTGTGCAAATATTGTCTTGTTTTCAATAACAGCCATTTTTCTTTTTGTCATCATTTTGCAAGCAAGACACGTTTGCGCTTGTTTTGAATTCTGAGGTATGTCATGTCTTTTGTCACAGTTAAATCATAGATTTTATTTATTCATTTCTTTTTGGTTTTTTTTTCCTTGAGTTAAGAGATATGATGGAGATATGATATCACAAAATAATCTAAGTGAAATTTTTGTTCCAAAAATTTTGCTTGAAAATGAAACAGAGCTTGATGCTTTAATTCAATTTAATTCTAATAATTATATTGGAGTTTTCAGCACTTGTTTTTGAAACATGAGAACTCTTATGTAGTGAAGGAATCATATTTTTTAAAAATAATTATAATTTAGGCTCTACTTTTGTATCAAACACTGTTTTTTAAAAATAAAAACAAAAATACTAAAGAACTTTGGATTATTTACCTGATGAGTTCTTTCTCATTTTCTATATATTTACACACACACACACACACACACACACACATATATTGGAGGCACGGTGGAGTAGTGGATAGCGGCTCGGATTGGGGAGTCAGAGAGCCGAGTTCAAATTCCAGTCAAATCTATTACATTCCCTTATGTGCTAATACCCTTAGGAAAGGTATTAAATC